GAAAAGGTGGGCACGGAGGCGGATTTTCTTTATTCTCTTCACTACATCCTCGATGCTCTTGGAAACTCCTCAAGCCAGGAAACAAATCCGTTCCTCATGAACATCGTTTTTGTGAGATTTAGTCGGAGACCAATCTTTTCACAGGTTTTATCAAAGTCATCAGGCATACGTTCCGCTTGGATAATGTTTGGCGTTATAAGGACGATGTTATCAGCAAAGCGAAGATGGTGTAACTGCCGACTGTCGGTTTTCACTCCCATATTATCCCAATCCAATGTTCGCATGACGTTCTGGAGGGTGGCGGTAAATAATTTTGGCGAGATGGTATCGCCTTACCTAACTCCTCTTTTGACGTCAATGTTAATGTCGTTGTAGAATGGTGATATCTTGGTTGTGAAATTTTTGTACAGGTCACGAAGAATCTTTATGTACTGAGTAGGGACTCTTTGACCATCAAGGGCTTCCAAGACTGTTACTATCTTAACTAAATCAAAGGCCTATAAATCGATGAAAGTGAGACAGAGCGGTCTTTTGTACTCTCGCGTTACTTCAATGAGCCGTGTTACTGTGTGGATGTGGTCCATCGTACTAAATTCTCTTCGAAACCCTGCTTGCTCACATGACTGTCCTTCGTCTAGTGTTCTGTCAATCCTGTTTAGGATGACTTGAGTGAATAGCTTGTAGACGACAGGCAGCAAGCAGATTGGGCGATGGTTGCCCACATCGTGTAGGTCACCCTTCCTGAACAATAACACGTTCTTGCTGGTCTCCACTGAGTAACCTTGCATTCAGACAGGTAACGTGTGAAGAGCCAGGCCAGTAAGTTTACGAGGACTGGCGGAAGGTTCTTCAGTTGTTTTGGTCTTGTCCTGTCCGGGCCTGGTGCTGCTCGATTTTTTACCGACAAAATGGCATGTCAGATTTCGGAAGGGAGAACTGGTGGTACAACATATCCATTTTCCTTTATTTCATTTGACGGCAGGTGAACTCGGCTATCGAAGAGATCTGAGTAATATTCGCGAATAATTTTTTCCATTACCTTTCTGGACGCTGTAGCTGTTCCGTCTGGGCGTCGGTGCATAGTGAAAGAAAATATTAGGAAGGTCATATATATCATATTCAGAGTGTTCGTTAAAATGGGCAGATTTAAAAGCTCGTTTTCTCTCGATGAAGATGAAGCATAGTGGAATGTTTCTGAGTGGGTTTCGAAACTGTGGGAGAAATGAGCGAGTAGAATCCACTGCATTACGCTCTTTTCACAACCTACTTCTTCTTATATATTTTTCTTTCTTTGTTCTGTTAGGCTAATATCAGACCAGCTCGGTAGAGAAATCGTAGACGAAAGACGAAATCCATTTTGGGTGATGGTCATTGAGGCTAAGTATTCTTGGAGGAAAAAACCATGGACTTAGTGAATTTTAACCGTTTGAGCTAACTAACGTCGAGTGCGAAAACTGAAGGCACAGTCAACGCATTTGCTCATAAATGTGGTCACATGGAAAGACAAGTCGAAACGTTACGGTTGAGAGAGAGAAACCATCTCCTGAATGAATCTGCATCTTAGTGCAAGTATATAAAAGCTTTTGGTTCTCATTTAAGTGCCCAAATCTCCCATAAGGATGCATCACTTTCCTTTATGACCATCTTATACTTGAGGAAAACCTGCGGATCAGTGAGCAAACGCCTAGGAAGTGACGAAGTTCCCAGTGTGTATTTTTATAGCTAGTCAATTGCCAGCAAAAGTCCGTTGAATTATCGTAACGACATCATACTAGAGTTCAGCTTCAGTAATGATTACACCCTATACAATGGTAAGCAAGGGCTGCTGAGAGCTCAAAACGGATTAACCACAAAACTATGAAATTTTCGGCTGAAAGCAGGTTTTTAGTAATTTTTTAACACCACCTCTTCCACATTTATCGTGCGAATCCCTGCACTTCTTTTGCACTCGATTTATTTCCTCGCGTTCGATATTCACGAAGATCTTCCAACTTTTTACGTTTGGCTTCGGCTCTTGCTTCAAAATTTTCCTTTCGTCATAAATTTCGCCGAATGGTGGTTGTGTTGATTTACCTTGAAGTCCTGAGACAGACGAGCTAGACTGTTCTCACTTGGATTTGAAAGAGAGTTTTTCCATACAGGTTCGGTGGGGCGATCGAACCAGTACTCTGGTCTTTTTGATCGGTATCACTACCATTGCGCTGCTTGCCGCCCATTTTGCCAATTTAGTTTTGATATATTGTAATCTCTGAAGTCTGTAATGAATTTAGAACAACTTTGCACCATAGTCTAGCAACTTCAACAACTCGTCATTGCTTCCTCACAGCTTCGGAATTTCACGCGATATCTCGCTCTGTTTGAAGTTATGTTCCTACAAGAAACGGTTTGGAATTTGACGGATGCAGTGGATGAAACTATTATGGTTCAAAATCACAATGTTTAACTTTTTGTTTACCACCTATTATTTTTTTTCATTTTTTCTTTCAATGGGAGAGTATTATGCAAGATATAACCACAAATATTGAGATGTTTGCAAAACTTCGAACTAACACCAGATTCGAACCAGCGATTAGCCTTTCCGGGGCCACGTGTTACCTACTGCGCCACCAAGGACCACGTTGAGTCTTTCGCCTACCTAGCCTTTAACCGTAATCGCTAAGTTTCTTTGCCCTCAGAGGTGGCTTGCGATCCGAGTTTTGTAAATATCTCAACATCATTGTGGTTCCATTGTGGTTCATTTGCTCAGGAATATAAGTGTATTTGTCACATCAGTGCACAAATAATTGCTTTTTGTCGATATCACAATATTTTTCGACACTTTCTTGGGACAAATACGGTAGAAATTTTAGAATCCTAGCAAAGCAAGTTACAAATCTATGCGTACTACCAGTTAAGTCGGTTTTTCCCCGCTTTTAGGATTTAAATAACAATACACTCAGTAACTACCGCTTTCACCGTTTACACTACCCGTGGTGTCGAATATCAGTAGTCAACTGGATGAAATTTAGAACGTCTTCCACAACTGTTAGTCTGATGAAGCCTGAATGACTCGATTACTCCGCTTGTTTGTGTTTCAGTATTCGTCGCTATTGACTCCGACTAATAGCTCTAATAAATGAGATTCCGACAGCCAGTGTGTTTTTTCTTCTGCCACAATCCTCGGCGGAATGGCGATGTATGATAAACCTTGTGATTAAGGGCATGGCGATGAGATAGAAGAACGAAATATAAACTGTGAGCAGATAAACTAGAGAAATGCTAGAGTACCATTGGACTACTGCTTTCTGGACTTCTAGATGATGCTTCGACTATGCTCATATTTAAGTCTACTTACAGCAATCTATTACGTCAAACTTTACCAGTTATATTTCTTCGGTTTTGATCTTGTGTGTGGGTGTATCCCAACCAATTCAGACAAATAAATTTTCATTTAAAACCGAAAGCGCGTTTGCTTTTCAGTATATCAATATTCGGTAATATTTCGTACAAAGTTGGACTACTTCATTGCTCCTCAGTAAACCAATTTAAAGAAATCATACGCGGTTATTTGATGTGATTGGTGCGCGAGTAACGTAATGATGAAAATACGGTTCCATAATATGTGAAAGCTCCGGTTCGACCCAAAACGGAATCGATCAGACCGTCTCCCTCCGCGATCGCGAAATTGGTACCGGACTTGTTCAGGAAGTCTATAAAAACGCTGCTGACTTCACGTCGTGATGACCTGGGAACGCCTTAGCGTAGTTGCTGGAGTATACAAGGATGAATATACTCGACCTACATTCAAGGATTGCCTTGAAGACCGAAATCCTTAGGCAGAAGCCGAACCCCTCGCAAAGCCGAAGACCTCCGTAGTGATGGAATTGGGAAACGAAACGAATGAGACAAGTTCTGTGACCAGCCCAATATTTTTGATGGCTTACGGAAAGTAAGAAAAGGAGAATATAAGATCAAGCTTTCCGATTGCTTAGCAAAGGCTAAAGTTTTTACTTGATGACGGTCTACTCACTTCTATTTTGTAAACTTACTTAGATGGCCAAGCATTTTTTATATGGAAAAGAACAATATTTTCGACTAAAGCGGAGCCTCCAATTTAGTAAGGGGAAGCCATATGCACTCCTTCTGATGAAAAAATCCGGGTTCGCTTTCCTATGCAGTAATGAAAAGGCACTCTTTGTTTACTTTGTGTCAACTTGGAACATTTACTTCTGACATAACGAGTCTCACCCATTTTTTTCTGCGCTCAATTGTTATACAATGGCATAAATCAGTTTAAAAAGTTGAGCGGATTTCTTCTGTATCATTTGGAGCTCCTTTTTTGAGTTTCAAAAATTTTCGTGCATAACGAGCTTTCTTAGGTCGTAGAAATGTCAGATTTTGGAGCTTCTACCTGAAAGCCCAGCAAGTTTGAACTAATGCCAAGAATCATCGCCTTTGTGGTGTTCCTAGCCGCATGGAATGGATCAGCTGGGATTGAAAAATGCTTAGCATATGATGGCGTGATAAGAAGTGAATGCACTCTTTGTTGACAGGCCCATCACCGAAGGCTTTGTTCGATGAATGAACAAAATCCTCCAGGTGGCAATTTTTTGACTGTTTAATTTCTGGCAAAATGAGTAACCTTAGGACGTTAGCACTTGTTGAAAATTTCCCTCTCGATTAATAAAGATGTATGCGGGGAGAAATAAGCAATAAGGAACAGGATTTCTGATCCATAAACAGCAGAATCCAAGGCACTAGTTCGTTCATCGCATCGTAGAAAATAGTTTAAACTGAAGGGAACGTCGTATCGGCTAATTTATAACGGAAAGTAAGAACTGTGACAGTGTGACAGTATATCACATAATGATGAGTTAAAATTCACAGAGACTATTCGTTATCACTCGGACATGCTGATATCTAAAGCTGTTAGTTATCAGACGAAGAAGTCAAATTAACGCCTATTCATGTATCCAGTAGATTGCAGAGCGGTGGGTTTTATTGTTCTGGCACAAAGCAGTATGGTTCTTGGGTATTCGGCGAATCGTACACGCTTAGACTTATTTCTGGACGAAGCCGCCAGGAGAAATTTTCCCTTGAATTGTAAGTACTCAGGACGTTACGAAGTTAAACAGTTATACTATTCATATTCTCTGTACAATTCTTTTTAGTCACTCCTATGGATTGTGCATTGAGAGGTTATGGTGCTTTCGTCTTGTGGATGCATCTTGTCGTCTACCTTATTTTTAAGGTTGCTGCTCAACTTTTATATTCACCTCAAAAAACTTTGGAATCAGCATAGAATTTATGAACAAATTAGAGCTAATGCGTCGTTTGTCGATGGATAGATAGAAAAATAAAAGAACAAAGCTTTCCGCCTTGGTCAATTCCTGAGGAATGCGCCATGCATTCTACTTCATTAAGCAACGTTTGGAGGTTATTGAATGCATACCTGGCCTTTACAATGACTCGCGGTGTCCCGACGATGTATCGAGGCAGTGCTGATATCCTCCGAGACAAGTCTGGTACCAATCTGCTAATCCCGGAGGGATGGATGGCTTGGTGAGCCATGGGCGCGGCGATCGATTCCAAATGCGTGTTGCAGGGCGCCTCCAACCACTGCGCCAAACGCGCAGTTTTTATAATAGCACCGGATAATTTCATTCAGCTAGAAGACTTGCAGAGTTTATAACTTGACAAATTTGTGAAGAAAACTTTGTTTTATCACTCCAACACTATTCATATATAGTACTTAGAACAAGATATCGGAAGATCATTGATAGCACATGACATAAGCTGAGCAATGTTGTAGTGGACGGAAACTGCGTAGGACAGCGCAGAGTCTAATTTTAGTGAGCGACGGTCACAACTCGTACTATGTAGAGATAAATCCTATGAGATGGAGAATATTTCAGCACATTCACGGCGATGTTAGCTATTCGCCTGAAGAGGAGCAATCACTGAAGGAGGTAAAAAAAAAAGCATGCGCGCTATAATGACATTGCAGAGGTTTCTTGCTTTTTCAGTACGATAGTCCTGCAGTGACTTCGGTTCTCAGCCCTGTGAGTAGGAGCCCCCTGACGAAGCGATCAGAAACAGTGAAGGTGAGAAGCAAGAACAAACTTCCACGTCATAGACCTCGTATAGGAGACAGCTTGATTTCTGGTTGTAATCTTGCTTATAAAGCATCGGTGGTACTTTTCAATCAAATAACTTTAAAGTTGTCCTTTAAAACCACGAAAGAAAAGCAGCTAGTTTCGGCACAAGCCCTTTCTTAGTTCATTATTGACTAGTTACAAGAACTCACGTCCACGATAACTCTGGGAAATTCCACGAAGTCACAGTACGTTTTCAATTGTTCGGATTTTTTCAGTGTTTGTAAAAACGTCTTTTGAATTGCTTCGTTACTACGTTCCACTTCGAAACTATAAATGCTATCTAATAAAGAACTATAAAGGAACGCACGACTTCGAAAAAGACGACGTCCAGAAGAAAGCCTGCTTTGAGCAAAAAATCGAATTCTTCGAAGAAATCGACATCGAAGAAACGAAAGGCTGTGAAGCGCTAGGCAATGTGTAAGGCTTAAAACACTAGTGCTAAGCCTGTTTGAACATTCACGCGAACCATAACCTTTAACCTTGTCCTAATTTAAAAGTGCACTCTATCCGGCAAATATTTCGAACGTTTAAGAATTTCAACCAATAAAAATGAAGACAATTACTCGATAAAGATAACGATAAAGTGTTCGTGTTGATCAGTTTATAATGGATGCGCCAATCTACCAAGCGTCTTAAAGCAAATGAATACATGTTTTGCTCAGACAGTGACTTGCAGTGATCTGCTGTTGTATCAATTCAGTGTTTTATGTTTTCCTAGGCAATTATGGCATCAATCCGGCGGCCTCTGAAGGGATGGAAACTTTGGTTAGCATGGAGCACGTGATGATTGAACCAATGACCGGCTACGTAGAGATTTCAAAGCACCTCTAACCACTGCGCCACACGCTCCACTACTGCTGACCAAAAGAAAACATAATGCTGACTTGTTGTAAAGAGTAACTTCCAAAATAAGGAACTTTTTCGACGATGATGACAAAGGTTGCTATTATTTCTAGAGAAATCTCAGGGAATCACTCAGTGAAGACGAAGCTCGGAAGTATAACTGATTGAAGAAAACACGGCAATGGTACTAAATTAGTAAATTATGCTTTCATTCAGGGTATTATAAATACGGTTTGCAAAATAATATTGGAAATCACAATGTAATAACTGTTTATTTACTGCCTAATCTTTTTTCATGACTATTTCATTAATAACGCCGATTTATGCAACCCAGATCAATCTCGTCAACGGGTGATTGCTGATAAAAAAATAAATAAGGATAAATCCCTAGGCGTCGATCAATCCCTGAGGGATGCTCCATGCATTCGACTTCATTAAGTATCGTTTGGAGGTGACTGAATGCATATCTGGCCTTTACAATGACTCCTATTTGCCGACCAAAGCTAGGTGGGCCACGGGCGCGGAGATCGATTCCACGCCTGTGTCGCATTGGCGCCTCCAACCACTGCGCCACAAGCGTCCATATGATTACTGATAGCGCCTATAAAACACGGCTGGAATAAAGGCGAAACGAAGGATCTGCACAGTGTGGCGGTGAATATGTTAACCCCCCGAAAGGGTAACAACGGGTTTGATCCCCACCGCAGACAACTGCCATGCGGAGTTTTGTAAATATCGCAGCATCATTGTAGTAATATTGAAGAACTTTTCTAAACACAATATAATCAAAATTAGTTGCGATACAAGAAGGTAGCGTGGGAAAAAAAGATGTGGTGTCGTTTCCGAACAAAATGATGGCATGCATATCTGGCATTTACAATGACTCATAGTAGCCTACCTATGAACCGAGCCAGTGATGCTATCCTCCCAGACAAATCTGTTACCAATTTGCCGACCCTGGGGGGATGGAAGGCCTGGTGGGTCATGACGCTGCGATCGATACTACGTATGTGTTGTAGGGCGCCTCCAACCACTCCGCCACATGCGCCCCTAATGAAGTATTATGAGGAACAAATGATTTATAGTATAACTACAGGGAGAGCTGTCGTCGAACAAAAAACTCAGCAGGGTGCTAGGCAGAAATGAGTTGGTGGTTCAATAGAGATCATTGCATGATCTTTCGGAAGTGCGTGGAAACAGAAACAGTTCCAAGATCGAGAGAAACATATTTGCAGGGTGACATGAGAAATTCCCTTCAACATGTGAAAGTGGGCAACAGCGCAGATGAGGACCGAAGAGCAACCATAGCACCAGTTTTGTGACTCCAGATAGAAAGCCTACTCATCCACCATCAAATGGAATTTGTCTTGGATGGTTCTTTATTACTAAAGACGGCCAGTCGTTGTGCACATAAGCTTGCCCATTGTAAAGTCAATGATGCCGGTTTCTATTTCAATCAAGAATAGGTACGACTTTAACTATTTAGGGTGTATGTAGAGCAACAGTTACAGGTACCCTGCAATACATATGGGTTCGATCTCTCTCCCAGGCCCACCAAGCCTTCCATTCCTGCGGACTCGCCAAATTTGGGCTAGAGCTCTTTGGGAATACAAGAGGCCTGACTTAATTCACCGGTAGACGACCACGAGTCATTGTATAGGCCAGATCTGCAATTTAATTCACCTCCTATTGTGCTTGATGAAGGCGACTAGATGCCGCTTACCTCAGAGATTTAACAAAGCCGTGAGCTTACCCTTCTATTCCTTTGTAACAGTTTGGCATAACTAAGAGCAGATCACGAAAATGATAAAACCCTTAGTTAAAACAGCTCCTCTGATTATTTTTTTCAACACAACCTGTCTTTCTTTCACGACTGTTGTGCTGACCTCAGCATTCAGCTCATTTCTTCGTATCGAAGATTCGCGGTGTTTCAGATTTTTTTTCTTATGGATTTGGGTACATCTCGAAGGTTTTCCTTTCGTCATGAATGTCGTTGAATTTTGGTCGATCCGATTCTCTATGATCTTGAAATAGCAGAGCCAGAGCGTCTCCAGTTGGATGGCATAGAGTGAACTTTTCCTTGACGCGTCTGGTAACAATTTCCCGACTCCGGAGAAATGAGAGACTTGGTGAGCCCGTGCGAGGTCTAACCAGAACCGAGGTCATCGTGGTCGTCACCACGACCGCCGCGCTATCCGCTTCCTAATACATCCATCACGAATCCACAAGTGGCACTTCCATATTAAATTCCACAGAAATTCCTACAACAATTACGTTTTCATCAAAGTGCATCATTTCGAACAAAGCCGCAATTCGTTTTACCAATTCGATTTTAAATTGTTCTCAAAGAGTACAAACGATGGCTTCCAGCTTAATTTCCACCCAGCCAATCGCACAGCAAATGCTATCCAAGGCGGCTATAACGTTAAAAAATCCTTATGCGAGAAAAATTGGATAACGCCGCTGTCCATCATTTCATTCGGAAACGACACCACATCTTTTTTTTCCACGCTACCTTCTTGTATCGCAACTAATTTTGATTATATTGTGTTTAGAAAAGTTCTTCAATATTACTACAATGATGCTGCGATATTTACAAAACTCCGCACGGCAGTTGTCTGCGGCGGGGATCAAACCCGTTGTTACCCTTTCGGGGGGTTAACATATTCACCGCCACACTGTGCAAATCCTTCGTTTCGCCTTTATTCCAGCCGTGTTTTATAGGCGCTATCAGTAATCATATGGACGCTTGTGGCGTAGTGGTCGGAGGCGCCAATGCGACACAGGCGTGGAATCGATTTCCGCGCCCATGGCCCACCTAGCTTTGGTCGGCAAATGGGAGTCATTGTAAAGGCCAGATATGCATTCAGTCACCTCCAAACGATACTTAATGAAGTCGAATGCATGACGCATCCCTCAGGGATTGACTCACGCCGAGAGCTTTATCCTTTAGTATTACTAAAAGCAGCATTAATTTGAGTACTGAAAGAGCCATTTCTACTGGAACCATTAATTGATGTATCCCTTGATTGACAGGGTGGTCTTCTTATAAAACGGGTAATATCTGGGTGCCTTCCTCTTTTTCAGAGCCGGAATGGTTATAGTCGATCGTCCTGTTCACCATTTCGATGTGGATCTTCGCAGTCTCACCGAGTCGATTCCAATGGAGTGGAGCACCACTTGAATGAAATACTCTTCATTGTATTAAATCAAACAATAGTTATGCGGAAGACTATGAATAAAAAGCAATCGTAACTGTTTTGCTTCTAGTTCAAATAGTTGTTACAGTAAATGCTCATTCACACAATATTTGGAACAACAGAAAGGAAAAAAGTCTGAATTCACGGCGTCTTTCAAAAGTGGAGTGTTTAAAATCGGATGTCGACAGCTGCTGCTTCGCTCGATGTTAGTATTCATTCGTGGTCGCATCGAGCCACTACAGTCACATTGGGGTAAAGGATAAAGCTTTCGGCGTTGATCAATCCCTGAGGGATGCGCCATGCATTCGACTTCATCGAGCATCGTTTGGAAGTGGTACAATGCATATCTGCCCTTTACAATGGCTCGCGGTGGCCTACCATCGAGCCAGTGCTACCATCCTCCCAGACAAGTCCGGTACCACTTTGCCGACCACGAGGGATGGAAGGATTGGTGAGCCTGGGGTGCGAAGATCGATTCCACGTGTGCGTTGCACGGCGCCCCTGACCACGCCACGCGTGCCCTTTGGTGGTTAGATTGCAGTCAAATTGACCTTTCAAGGCTCTATAGAAAGCGAAGTCCGTCGAAGAGTCAACCTTTGGAAATAAGTTATATATAATAACAGCCTCGTGTTTGCTACTGAAGAGAATAACGAGTTGAGAAGTGAGCCTTCCCCCTCCATTTTCTCTTATCCTATGTATCAACGTGCACATTTCAGAAGCTGCTCATAAATGTAACGATGGCTTTGAAGTTGTCAAAACATTTCGAGGTTCACTTGGAAAGCTGGTTGCATAAGGTAATGGAGTGTTCAGAAACAACACGGTTTGCAGGCGATGACGGGCTGACAAATCGAGAGAACACTGCCAAGGAATTGTTTCTCTGTTTCTTTTACGGAATAAGTCTCTCACAACAGCACACTTAGTTAATGCATTACGCCGCAAGGAAAATTTATCCTAGCCTAAAAAATTGGACATCTTCTTGGTAGTCGGAGCTTGTAATAATTTCCAACAGAATCCATGTCCCATCTCATGCTCTTGTTTCGTTAGTTCAGTACTCATCAGGCTGTCGCTCCGTTAGTATAGTGAATCCATCTTCTCATACGGAACAAATACCTGGAAAGTCCATAATGTGTTATTCAAAGGATTTACCAGTGTAATTGCTGCCAAATCTGCATTAGCATGTATTCCTTAGCTTTCTCAGTGCAGAGTCTCAGTTAACCTATGCAGAGTCAAATAAATTCTTGCAGATGGTCACCTTTGTTCATACTGTGTCCTAGCTGTATAATTGCGAACATCGACGAAGATTCTTTAGTAATCTGAAAAGTCGCAATGGAAACTTGGGAAAGGTAGTGAGGTATCTTCTTAGATTTCTGCTGCGGAA